AAAGCGTTTTGTAGTCACTGCCCACCCCTACTCCTATGACCGCACACAAAAGAACATTTTCCCTTTTTCACCCATATCCCTTCCTATTGCAGCTGTCTTGCATAAAGTGCAGGAGCCACACGAGGCGGTCACGTGAGAGCTGGTCATCAAAAGACGAGATTATAGGGCAAACCCTTGGGTTCTTTCCTTGTGTTTTCCATGGTTTGTCTTGTGATGGCAGGTAGGAACAAAAGAGGGGAAGGGAAAGGGAAATACGTGTGCAAGCAAGCGTTCATGTTCAGAGTGAGCCTGAATGTGGTTTGTGACTGGAGATGCTGCCAGTTATGTAAACTTCGGCAGCAGTGGCAAACCTGTGGCATATTTGTTACTATGTGTGTATGTGTGTGTGTTTTAAAGGCAAAAAATGATCATGTAGTTTTCCTAGATGAAACCGTCAGTCTTCAGGTTTCATTGCAGTGTTGGCACTTTGTGGTGTATCAGTGGGTTTTGGGTTGCAGTTCGGCACTCAGTCTCTACAAGGTTCGCCATCACCATCGTATACTGTATTTGATGTCAGCATCATCCGCTTTGTTGTCATTGGCTCGTAATACGCAGTGTCGAAGGAGTAGAGGTTTGTTCCCTGAAGTATTTAATCAATGATTACACACTTTAAATTAATTTTATACCATCAATGCTTTAAAATTTTAATATATTTATGTTACTTATATTGTGTAGTTTTCCTTCAGAAATCATAGAGGTTTTGATGTTCTTCTTTTTAAACCAGCTAGCAATCTCTGGCTTCAGACATAGTAGCACACAGCATTACCTCTTCTTCATCTGGAAATATCACAATGTTGTATGTTGTGTAGTCTGTTTATGTAGCCACCATGGACAGTATCCTATCACTGCTTGGGTTTCACAGTGTGACTATAGATCTTTTACTTTGAATACTCCAGCAAGTCAGTGACTGCAGTCCAAGAAACAACTTTATACTACAGTTTCATACCTCTCTAGCAGAAACACTGTTGCTACTTGTACTGACTAGAATAACTAAATAGTAAAACGTAGTGCACGTGGAGTTTAATGTATCAGGCTACAAAATATATACAACTCCACTATTTCCAGTTGTACTACAACTGTAGTTAGGACAATTTCACATACCTTTCTTTTTTAAGCATACATACTCCACAATTATCCATAAAGGATTGTAGAGTTCATTTGTCCTGAGCACTTTTCACATATTTACTCCTTTAATACTCAGTAATTCTATGGCATAAGTACTTTTTTTTTTTTTTGTAACAGAAATCAAACTCAGGACTCTGCGCTTGCCAAGCAAGGAAGGCACTGTGCTGCTGAGCTGTATCACTGGCCCATAACTACTATTATTTCATCTATTTTATAGACAAGCAAACTGAGGCCAGGAGATGTGAAGTAACTGCCTAAGATCTACAGCTGAGCCTTCCTCTTCCCCTTCATGCCACGTGTCCTCTTCCATTGCTGTACCGCACGCGGTGCGGTGCGCGGGCGGTCCGGCGGCTGTGCCAGGATTGCGAGCTGTGCACACTGGCTCCTGCACACTTCACTTTGCAGCGAAGCTGCGTCATCGCCCCATTCAGTGTGCGCTTCCATTCTTCATCACAGTACTATGAGGACCTTCCCTCAGCAAAGAACATTTTTAGAAACTTTTTGTGTCATTTTTTGAAACTATTTTTATATCTTTTACTAAAAACTTTTTAGTAAAATTTGCTAAGTTCTTTTTCAAACTTTTTCTTGAATGCAGTTGTGAATGCTGAGGTGTAGGGCTAACCCATCACAAAGTAGTAGCTCCTCGAAGAGGCGGGCTTTCCAGGCATCAGCACCTGGCCGCGCAGCCCATGCTCCCCGGTGCGGTGGCGCTGCCTGGAACAGAGTCCTAGCCGTACAGTAACATGGGACATGTCTACATTCGGTCCACCTCATCGCTCCTTCAAGATGCCAGAGGAAATTTCAGACACCACGGGATGATCACACTGTCTGCAAAACTTATAATCCTGCTCACTTGTCAAAATAAGAGTTTCATATGGTTTTATAAATTGAGTCTGTCCTAAGAGTGCAGAATTCTAAGAGCTGAGTCTTCCATGTGGATTAAGAGATCATCCCTTGCAGTGGGTTGCCCGGTGACTGCAGATGAACTCTAGAATCAGAACGTAGTCCTGTAAAATGAAGCCATTTCTGTCTGTGGATGTATCTTGTTGACACAATCATGTTTTACATTTTTCAACATTTTATATTTTATTTTTAAATTTTACTATTTAGTTTAACAGAGTTCTCTGAAAGGTTCCCTGCTCGATGTACTGTATTCCTTTTATTGGTTAAACAGCTTGTGGCCATCACCAGTGAACCTTTTATCACGTATTTAATGCATAAATTTGTATCAGTACACAGGCACATCCTAGGCACAGGATTTCTAAAGGATGACTGTCAGTTTGATTACAGCACATATCTTTTTAAAAATTACCTGAGGATTTTTTATTTTATGATAGGATTCAAAGGCATACTTTGCTTTCAAAAAAGAGCAAAAGGGGTGGGGGAGAACAGTGTAAAAATGATGATTCTTCTTTAGAAGCAAAGAATTCCAAACGTACATGCACTTTCATTTCAGTAATTTTTGTTGTATAAGGTCATCTACGTAATATGTCTAGGAGAGTCCATTTTTTAGGTTCATCTCAGTCTAAATGAATCTAACGTAACCCTTTTTTCTGCTGTAGGCATAGCTCTGAGCCAGTATGAATGGCAATCCCAGCATGTAATTTTGAAGTAACATGTTTCATTCTGTAAAAAACTTATAGAACCGGGTTCATGATTAACACTGTTCCTACCTCTGAGGCTGTCAGACGTTATTTCTGTCACTTCAGTTCCTTCTTACCGTTTTGACAGTTTCCTGTTTTGCTAGACAGCAACACTCACAATTTAGGGCTACAGTCAGAGTCTTATTAGACTTGTTCTTTCTTCCTATTTAAACTTTTTTTAAAATTGAGACTCTTTTCATACTTATTGCTAGAGGGGCTGGGGATATAGCTCAGTGGCATAAGTGCCTGCCTGGCAGTCACAAGGTCCTGAGTTCAGTTCCTGGTACAAAAAAAAAAAAAAAAAGAAACCTGGATCATACTTATTGCTAGAAGCAGCTGTTAATGGTTATGGCATATTTTCCTTTGTAGAAAGTCACAGCTATGAAGAGAAAGTTTCCCAGTAGATTAATAAATAGGCTTTTGTGTGAATTCTCTACTGGAGATTTCTCTTGTTTAAAGGGCCAAAGACCTGAGCTTGTTTTCTTGGTGCTAAGAGAAGTAAATGGCCTGCAGGTAAATACTTAACACTTTGGAAAGCCAAACTAATGTCGTTTTTATAATGAGTAGTTTTGAAAGCAGTTCATTTTTCCTAAACAGTTAAAGTTCTCACATGACATGTAGCCTAAATTTGGTTTTAGCACAGTGAATGCTCCTTGCTGAAGCACAGAATCAAAAAATAAAAAATAAAAAAACCACGCAGGCCAGTTCACTAGTTCATGCAGGTAATCCTAGTCCAGAGGCTGAGGTAGGATAGTAAGTCCCAGGCTGGCCAGCCTGGGCAACTGAGATCCTGTCACGAGCTAAAAAATCAAAAGCGTTGGGGATATAGCTCAGTGGTAGAGGACTTTCAGTACTGGTTCAATCCCCAGTACTGAAAAATGAATAAGCGAATCAATTAATAAAACAAATTTATAGGCAGCATTTCCTAATACTACACAGCTTTAGTCAGTTAATACACAAAATATTTAACTGTTAAACTGAAGCATTTTGCTTTAAGTCCCTTTAATTCTACCTTGCTTATTTAATTACTCCATGAAATTTCCACATCTTGGGAAAAAATGCTCAGGAAATCACTGCCATCAGTCTGATCCAAGCCACCACCACCATTCTAGCATCACAGCTTCTGTTCATGTCTAACTGTTCTGTGTGCCAGGAGTTAGCGTACATTGAGGCCAAACTGCCTGGGTGTAAGTCCTGCCTCTGTCATAGCTAGATGGCCTCGAATGACCTACTTAACTTCTTTTGCCTCATTTCCCCTTCTATAAAATAAAGATGGTATTAGCAGACCTCATATGATTGCTCTGATTAGTTACCAGTTATTGAACAACTGGTGTAAGTGCTGTTAAATGCTAGTCTGCATAGAGCAACCCTTATAAAGCATCAGATGGGCAGTTTCTGCTTGACCTCTAAGTAACCATGGAGAATTAAACTGGAATTTGCTGCTGAGGCCTGTAAGTCTGCTTCTCTGATTTCATCTCCCATTGCTTTTTTGCCTTCTCTGTTCAAGTGACATAGGCCTGGTCCCGAGATACTAAACAGTTCTACGTTAAGGCCTTCGCACTTGGAATTCCTTCTTCCTGAAACGCCTTCTCCCCAGATATTTTCATTGTTTCGGAGTTCACACCCTTACGTAGCTACTAAAATATTCCGAGGCCTTCTCCATTTTAATAGCATGTGGTCACACACGTATCCCCATTCATTAGTCCTCGTCCTTTTTTTCTTTATACCATTAACCACTGACATCCTGTTTAGTGCCTCCAAACTGGTAAGTTCCAAGCCTAAGGACTTTATTTTGGTTCTTCCTGTGGTCTCAGCAACTAGAAAACTACCTAGCACTGCCAGTGCTCCGTAAATAGTTACTATAAGATACTGGGCAAAAGTCTGAGGACCATGAGGATCTTTATGCATTTTTTTAAAGGTAAATACCTAATACTTACTTTTTATTAGAAAATTTGGGAATTCAGAAATAGGAAGAACCTAGGTTCTTATTTGCAAAGTTAAGGATAAGCGGGTAGAACAAAACTGTTTTCAAAGAAGTATTAAGTACCATGTGGTAAATTACATACTAGATGGAACAGCCTTATTTTTCTAACATTCACTTTGTAGTATTATTTGTCACCTAAAAGGACCAGTGGCTATTCCTTAGAGTATGCATATATATGTAGTTACAGTTTTTCCTCTTTTCTTCTGCAGGTTAATGACTCCAGAGAGTGAGATCAGATTTGTCCACAAGGAGATGGGAATAATTCCAAGCTGGGGTGGTACCAGCCGGCTGGTTGAAATCATAGGCAGTAGAGAAGCTCTCAAAGTGATAGGTGGAGCCCTCAAACTGGATCCAAAAAAAGCTTTAAGTATAGGAATGGCTGAAGAGATCTTGCAGTCTTCAGATGAAACAAAATCTCTAGAAGAGGCTCAAGCATGGCTGACACAATTTGTTAATGGGCCACCAGAAGTCATTAGAGCTTTGAAAAAATCTGTTTGTTCAGGCAAAGAACTGTATTTAGAGGAGGCATTACAAAATGAAAGAGATCTTTTAGGAACAGTGTGGGGTGGAGCTGCAAATTTACAGGCTATTGCTAGGAGAGGAAAATTCAATAAATAATTTTTTTAAATGTGGATGTACTATAAGTAAAGTTCCAATTATTAATATATACTAAAGTTAAATGAAATTAATAGCATAATCTGAAAGCTACTACTCGTATTCAAATTTGGTTTTGGTAATTCAATATCTGAATTCCCTGGTCAACATTTTTTAATCAATATTTGGGTAACATATACTATATACACACTTTCTGTATAACAGTTATTTCTAGTGCTGCTTTTATTGCAGTAATGGTTTCTAGCCTATAAACAAAGGATCACCGTTTAAGTTTTGGTTGATTTTTTTTTTGAGATATAAGTGTTCTATCACTATGTCCTGAGCCCCAAAGATTAGTTTTTAAAAGGAAAAGCTTCTACAGGCAGAAAATTTATTGTTTTTCTTTTACCCATAAAATTTTTGTTGTGTTTTTAATTTACAGCCTAATGAGCCTTTCAGATAAAGGACATGGGGAGGGCTTACAGGACAAGAAAAGATATGATTAGTCGTTTTCTTCTGTTCCACATGAGGAGAAAAAAAAAAAGATGCATCCCATTACACCCTTCAAGTTTGGAGCCTTACTTGATGTTTTCAGTAATCTTACATTTATGTATTAAATTATCTACTAGTGATAGCCATGATAGGAACATCAGCTGACTTTACAAGCTCACCACTCACATTCCTGGGAAATACCAAGCTGGAAACAGTATGGTTGATACAGTTTAAAAATTGAAACTTGGAAGATTCATGACACAAGCATCCAAAACAAAAGTCAGCACTTTACAACAGATCTCTGTTTTTCTGAAAAGCCTCAACTTTTGTAACTAATTTTACAATAAATTTACTAAAAATGCATAATTCATGCTTTTATAATCCGGTAACTCAGTTCTTTAAAAATGTGTAATTCAGAGTCATCCCTATGAAATTTTGTCTTTGCTACTGTACCATTTTACATTTGAGAATCATAGTAAAAATAACTTGGATTCGCTTTTATCAACATCATTCTCTTGCTTTAAAAACAGACTTGGGTGTGGTGGTGCTCGCCTGTAATCCCAGCACTCAGGAGGCTGAGGCAGGAGGATCACAGCAAGTTTGAGGCCAGCCTAGGGTACACAGTGAGTTCAAGGCCAGCCTGAACTGCATAGTGAGACACTGTCTCAAAAAAAAAAAATTACTGTCTTTCTCAAAATCTAGATTACCATGTTAACCCAATACTTAATACCTTACCCAGATATAAAAAATTACCAATAAAAGTGGGTTTTCTGATCTACAACAGTATGTGTAAAGTGAATTCATGTCTATTAATTGTAAGTAAGTCTGCCACATACCCAGAGTGTAAGACCACTAATGAACAATGAAAAGAAAAATTTCCAGTATAAATTGCTGCACAAATATAAGACTCATAGGCTGTTCAAGTTCATTTCCATATTTATTCCACACACACTGTTTGCAGATACTGTTTAAGAATTCTCTATGAAGAAATCGAACTTCTGAGCAGGTGACTAAGCTGCATATAGTTAATTCAGACCTTTACCTTGTCAATGACCTTTGGCCACAGTATCAAAATACTTGCATCACTCTTCCAGACTCAAACCAGGGACAAATTATTTTTGACAAACTCTAGTATTTATTAAATTATAAATTTTTTAATCAAAAAGAAAAATGCAGACAAGAGAAACTGCAGACTACAAGGGCTAGACAGCAAAGCTTATGGGAAGGAATGCCATGAAGTGTTACAAAGATTCTGAAAGAAAAGTTACTAGTTGTTTTCTTTACATTTCCATTTCAGTAACTTTACTATAAAATTGGTGTTATTCATCTGTCTTTAAACCAAATTCACATCTGTCTCCACATCACCTTACGCTTCCTGCTCATGATGCCAACGTCTCACAGGTGCCAAATTTTAGCAGTAGTTCTATGCCAATCCATGCAGAAAATAACAACGCCAGGGTCAGATGAGGACCAGAAATGCACAGATACATACACACACTGGCCGAAAGAACTAAAGAAATGTTTTTAAAAAACTATAAAGAAAACAGATGTTGAGAAAACTGGGTTATTACTAAACAGTTCTCAGCTATTAACACCCAAGAAGTTCCTTAAATAATTATTTCTCAACAGAGACATCTCAGACATTTTATTTCAGGGTTATCCTTCCCAGACCCACACCCACCCATCTCCCAAAATGCACTACCAGGGATGAGTCATGTTATGTGGGCAGAAATTTACAGCTAGCCATTCAACCTTGGGCACGGAGCTGAAGACGTCTATTTAAACTTCTGTTACTGTGCACTGTCCGTCCGGTTTTCTGGATCTGACACTCCCTGTTCCGCCCCCTGCTACTGACCGATCAGTTCCCGACAGATCAGCTGCTGTCTGGTTCGCGTCCGGCACCGCAAGTCTCTGCTGGGTCAGGGAGTGCTGTGCAGCCACTGCAGGTACGTCCTCACTATCACTGCTGGCGTCTGACTCGGTTTCTTCAATGGAGGTGTCTGGCGCCCTGCCTGAAGACGGGGACTCGCGGTCTTCTTCTCCTTCTCCCCTGTGACTCCTCTCATTCGTGCTGTCTCCGCTGAGTTGCAAATGAGCAAAAGAGTCTTCCACAGAAGTGCCTGCATCGGGGGACGGGGTGGCAGGGCTGGTCAGCTGCCCGTCCACTGACGTCAGGGGCCTCACGGCAGACGCCACTGGAGGCTGGACAGAAGCCCCGCTCTGTGCCGACATGCTGTCTGCACCGTCGGCAGAGCTCTCTCTTGCTAGGTTTACAGAATTTGCATCACAGTCCAGCCTAAGTCCAGCTACTCCTTTCTTTGGTATATCTATTATATCTCGCTTAATCTTTCTGCGACGTCCATGTTCATTTCTCCTATACTGAACCATATTTTCAAGATCAGCAACATACAGAAAGCCAGCAATTAACATTTCAGTGTTCTTTTTACCTTTGGAGAAAGCGTCTTCCAGCTCCCTACTAGTGCGCTCATCGTACTGCCACCAGCCATTTCTGCCCTCATAGTACCACGCGTACTCGCCGTTCCCTCTGCTCGCGGCCTTCAGTTCTTCCGGTGACAACAAGGTTGGTTTGTCAAGGAAATCTTCGGGAATCTCTTGTCGACAAAGGGCACATCGCTTTCCAAGCCATGAAGCTCCCTTCACACACAGGTAGCAGAAAACATGCTTACAGGGCAGGCTGACCGGGTGAACACACGTTTGCAGACATATGGCACACTCAGGAACGGTCAGAGAAGGTGCAACGTTAGAACAGGACTCGTTGGCTTTCCTGTTCGTAGGAAGCATGTTTATGGAGTGATCGATTTCACCACAGCCAGCCATCCTAGATCATGAGGGAAAAAAGACATAATTAGTTTATATAGAAAATCTTTTTGATTGTTTGTGTGTCTTCACTTTTTGTAGGGAGCAATGAAGCACACAAATATCCCAAAAAAGCTGTATCTATCATTTCTACTCAAACAATTTATCAGAGGACTAAGTGAAACATTGAAAGTGTTCAATTCATTCTAGACTGACTTTACCATCAGTTGGAAAGACAAACAGAAAAGTTACTCAGGTAACAGTTATGGCGAGCAACGATTTTGTAGCCTTACAGGATTTTTGCCATACATTAATATACTTTTGGTACTTTGCACATGGACCATACAATTAAGACTAAAACCAAAACCCAGGAAGTTCCCTATCCCTGCTGTACGTCGCTGCAACAGTGGTCCAACCAGTCATTTCTGTCACACAGGACCATTTCTTATCTGATACACAGTGGCTTTTTCTTGTCTTTTTTTTTAACTTTTCTACATTATATATGCTTTTTTCACTTTTCTCTTCTGGATGATCATCTACATGATGATCATCTACATTCATGACTTTAATTATTAGCTATATATAAGTGGCACAAATTGCTATCACTAATATATAAGTGGCACAAATTGCTATCACTAATCTAGACCTCTCCATTCACCAGAGACCTATATTTCTAGAGGAGTATTTTTAATGTGGGACATCTGAAGGTACCAAAAAACTTCACAACCTGCTTCCTTATTTTCTAAAACAGCCCCTATAATAACACCACTGTTTAATGAAGCCAAAAATCCACCCAGAAACTGCTCTTTTCCTATTCCTTTTCATCCAAATCATCAGCTTTATCAATTTTCTCTCTTACGTATCAACTTTGTCCTATGTGTCTCCTGAATCCAACTACTACTTATATCTCTAGCCTTCCCTAGCCACCAAGCAAACATTATTTATTAAATTACTGGATCAGCCTTCCTCCTTGCTTAAAAGTTGATTTTTAAGATAAAGACAAAAATCTCAAAGTCTATGCCCCCACTCCCGTTCTAGCCTCAGTTCATAGCAGACTTCCCCACATCAGGTCCTTACCCACAGTGGCTACTGCCCAGGAATACGCTTCCTCCCTCCTCATCTCCCACTTCTCACAGGGGAAAAAACTACAACTCACTTGTCACCAATCTGGAGAAGGCTTCCAGCACTGAAGGCTACCATCCTGTGTGCTTACTACCACGAACTCCCCGTTCTTAATGAGAACTACAACGCAGCATTTATTCCTGTGAGTGCTGTGACGCCCCCCTTCCCCGGAGACAGGTAGGCTTTATAAAGGAGGAGACAAGCCGCTTCTGGCCTGTCCACATAATTCCGTACAGGACTTAGCGAAGACTCACAAAGAAAATGAGTATGTTTTTCAAATAATACAGATATTTTAGGTTATACAAAGCTAAACTGATAAAAACTTTTTTAAAATCATGTTCCCATAACTAGCTTGGCAATATATGAAAATCCTGTCAGTGTACTTACAGGTCAGCCCAAGAAGCACCCCGAAAAGAACTACATAAAAGCTGTGGCCAGCCAGGGGAGAAAGGACACTGAGCTAAGACAGCTGTTACACAGTTAAACCAGTGCCACACAAGAAATCAAAAAACCCGAGTCTTAGTCTTCTTCAATAATTACGCACTTGGAATCACTCAAAAAACCTTTAGTCTAAATTTCCTTACCTGTAAGAATTTATAAAACTCAAGAAAGAGTGGGGGAAAAATATCCCACAAAAAATTCTGTAATCATTAAAGCTCCATAAAAGTTGTAGTCATGTAAAACTAAGGCAGCAAATATGAATCTAACACCAATCTGAAGAGAGAGGAGGGTGAGAGAAAAGAGAAGGTTTGTCATACTAGATGTAGTGAATGTACATCAAACTTGGGACATCTACCTTACCGATTCAGAAAAACATTAAACATACACCAAGGTCTGTATGCAGTGCTGAGTACAGATGAATGGTCTAAAGATAAGTAAGACACACACTTAGTCTGTTAAATAAGTTGAGGACAGTCATACGTACTGTAACAACCACTGTTAATTTGTATTATTTTGTCTTGAAACCCTGTATCACTTTAAATGTTCTTGCTTTGGTTTGTTTATGTCTGTGATGCTGGTATGCTGCTACTGTCCTCTATTTTTTTGTTTGTGTCTCATTTATTACTCTCTTTAAAATAAAAAAATTTTTAAAAATAAGGAAACATACATGAAAGCAGATAGAACTCCAGATATGTTAAGATATTTACTACAAGTAAGGAGAGAGACATGAATGGACATAGGTTTAGTAAAGTTTAGGGTGCAAAAGGTGCTGTGTAGAGAAGATTCCAGGCAGAGATAGAAGGGGTTTGATCAGAAGATAGTATGAGTATTTAAACTTAAAAACATGATTACAGTGAAAGACATACTGCCATTAATCTCCCTAAAAATACTCCCCCGACTGCTTCAAGCACAATTTTCTTCTCGTTCTTGCCACATTCTGAAGCAGTTTTGTGAGTCCTCTTTCATGTTTTTTTAATGAGATGTAATAAAAAAAATACAGTGAATGCTTCTACTGCATTCCATCCAACAAAAAAGCAGGTTTCTAAAACCATCCTTCACCTTACTCACCGGATCTGGCACCATGCAGCTTCCGGCACGTGCCTCGTCAAAATGACGATGAAAGGCAAACATCTGAATCAATTCAGGACACTGGGGCAGCTAGGACAGCACAACTGAAGGCACAGGAGGACTTCCGGAACTGCTTCAGAAAGTGGCTAGAACTATGGGGTGTGTTTACAGTGGAGTATGTTAAGGGGGACTAATAGAAATGTGTCTTTTAAACTATTTAGTTTAAGCATTCATTGTATCTTTTATACCTCATATGCAAGGAGCTGAGTCACATAGGCAATGGAATCAGAAAAGGGAAGCATAAAGGTAATGAGAAATCAAATCCCAAAAGCCTTATTGTGCCCTCCTAAAGAAACATGCCTTGATTTTTATTCCACAGAAATAGGAAACCACAGATACGACGAAAAGGGGAAAAATGACAGGAGCAGAGCAGCAGTAAACAGGAAGGATGGTAAAAATCTCAAAGATTTGAAACCATTAACTAACTGCTGTTTAACATGAATGACAATCTTTCTACTAATTAATTTGGCCGTTTAAAACGAGTATTTAAAATTTAATTGCCATAAGACCTTTACATTTTGTGCAAGAACAAGCCCTTTAAAAGTGACTCCAGTGTTTAGAACTAGGATAATCAAAAAAAAATATTTACACTAATCAGAAACTGAAAAACAATATTCTTAGGCTTTCACCACAGCACATCCAGTCTTACGACAACCTCATACTTTTACTACTACTTCTGTGCCCTTGGCCCTTCAATAAACTAAGGTTTAAAGTAGTAAGTTTTTGAAGATTTCAATGATCTGAAAAAGGATACAACAGTATCTCAACAGAAATAATCACAGAAATGCTTAACTTCCAAATTCTTTTGCAACCCTTAATAAAAGTACCAATCAACTCCTTTACTCACAATTCTGTTATAAAAATCAGCAAAGTACAACCTTTTCCCAACCCATGGAAAATTCTAGAACAAGATATACAAATTCTTAATATGGGAGGCACTCCTGTAGCTTCAAAGTACTTTGCCTTGCTTTCACAAGCCTTTTTATTTAAAATAACATGAGTTACACGTGGAAGCTTGTGCTTCTCACTAGTCAGCAGCCCTGTGGATCCCACCCTCACCACCCTGACATCAAGGGCTTCATTCCCAAAATTCTTTTCCAAATTTCCACATGTATTTAAATGTCCAAATAAGAAAAAAGTACAGCAATCAACTGTAAGTAATAGCTGAGGGCTCTGTTGATAATTCCATTTATAATGCAAAATAGAAAAATGGGCTGATGTTTACTACTCCTCTGGAAAAAACAACAGCAACATCTTATATATAAAAGTCTTCATCTCAAACTAGGTACCTTCTAAGCAAATGACAAATTAAAAATTTGATAAATTTAAAATTTAAGCAAGAAACAGGAGTCTGATAAAATGTAAACTAAGTATCCAACACAAGAGTTAGGTGAATGTTATACTTTTAAATACACAATTCTAACCACTTTCTGTTATATTTAAGTAAAACTGATATGAAACATCAGTTTTCCACCTGATGCAGCTATCTTATCTATACAGTTTTTTTTTAGTTTTTTTTCCAGTACCAGGAATCGAACTCACGACCTTGCACTTGCCAGACAGGCACTGTGCTGCTGAGCTAAATCCCCAGCCCCTCTATACAAAGTTTTTAAACAAAACCACTACTTTCTACCCTGTTTAATATGATCAATATTTTATTTAACTCTTGCTCTTGCTTGCATTCATGAATAAAGCTAAGCATATAATTTTCAAATGTAAAAGGCCACACGCCTGTAATCCCAGCACTCAGGAGGCTGAGGCAGGAGGATGGTTGCGAATTCAAGACCAGCCTGGGCTACAAAGTGAGCTCGAGGCCAGCCTGAACTGCACAGCGAGACCCTGTCTCAAAAAGACTAAATAAATAAATAAACAAATAAAATGTAAAAGGCAACTATCACTATCTCAGGGAAGATATGAACTATAAAAACAATACACTTGGAAAAGCAAAACAATTCTGTTTGAGCAGTTATTCTGGTTTCCTCATCACAATGAACCAAGTTGGACAAATTTCATCAGAAAACAAACAAGGTACATTATTTCATATGAAGCACTCTCAACTATCAATATGCAAAAGCAAATTATAAATTCAGATGCTCTGTAGCCCACCAAGTATACTGTCAGTCTATCATCAACTAAGAAATGAGAAGAAATATTTACTAATATTTCTTATCATTCTAGATGGGGCATTTACAATAGGTAAGATATAGACACAAAATATAACAAGACAGAGGTACCCTAAGCCACCAACCTACATATAAGACATATTTCAAAGCTATTTTTATTAACATTTCAATCTACCCTACACAATCATTTAAGTTATTTTTCAGTTAT